GAATGATTGCAGGTCGTGAAGGCAGCAGCCCTCTTTGACTACATTACCCATGATGCCCCGGGAGTGGGCGGTTTTTCTTTTTCTGCTGCTGCCCCTCCGGTGGAGCCTGGCTCTGCTGCTGTTGGCCTGGGAGGTGACGGCGCTGTCTCGCTGTTTGGCAGAGGGGAACTTCACGGCGGCTACGGGTGTGGCTTCAAACGTGATAAATCTCAACGCGGGGCAGAGAATGCGTAACAGCAAAACGGAATAAAAAGCACCAAAAAATACAGACAACCAGCAGCAAAGACAAACATCCTCAGAAGAAGAAGAAGAAGAAGAAGAAGTGGTGAGTGTGTCCGGTACTCGGGCAGCGGCTACGGCGGCGGCAGGAATCTGTGAGCTCCGTTTTCAACAGCTGGAATACTTTTTTTTTGGTTGTTTTTTTTTTGTGCTCAACTTCGTGCCTCATTTTCGTGTTTTCAACCCTAATGTAAGGACTAAAGCTAAAACCTACCACGAGAGAGAGAGAAAAAAGTTTGTTTTTGGTCGCTGGACAACTTCACTACCGCAAAAAAATCCCCCAAAACCTCCACAAATGCAAAACAACTGACTGAAGCAACCGAGCGAGTGTTTGGGAATTTCGTAAATTAGCTAGAAACCCAAGTTCACATCGTTAAAGGAAATAGTTTGATTTTTTTTTTTTTTTTTTTTAATGATTTTCGCTCCGTAACTGCACCGTCACATTTGTCGCCAAAAGAAAAAGGGAAGTCGCCTTACTTAACTTAAAAAAAAAAAAAGAAGAAGAAGAAGAAGAAGAAAAAAAGGAGGGGGTTCGGACTGAGCCGTGAATTATTACTATTTTTTTCCCAGGTGATATTTTGCCACTAAAGCAGCAGACCTGAAGCGTGCACTGGGAACCATGGGTTGTACGGTTAGTCAGGAAGACAAAGCCGCGGCCGAGAGGTCAAAAATGATTGATAAAAACCTGAGAGAAGATGGAGAGAAGGCGGCCAGAGAAGTGAAACTGCTGCTGCTGGGTGAGTTTTTCTTTTTCTGTCACAACGCTAACGCTGGGTTGCAAAAGTGCCACATGTATGACTGCTGCAGACCAATTATGCAACTTGCACACTTGACAACCGAGTAAAATCTCATTGGATTTTTAAGCCATGCCTTTTTTTTTTTAATGTACTCTTTATTCCCAACCACCTCTATGAATCCCTAAAGGGATAAACGTGGCAGCCACCAAGTGTTGGTTGCAGTCCTGCAAACTTCATCCAAAGTGTGTTAGCATATCCCCTGTGTGCTTTGCCTTCAGTCTCACAGATGCTTTGACACAAACACTCAGCCCCTATGCCTCTGACAGTGCTTGGGAAAGTTTGGACTAGAAACAACCCTCTGGAGCTTCTGTCCCTGTTTAGCAGGCATATGTGGAAATTATAGGAGCCAGTTTCACAACCCTACAGAGTGTGAGCGTTCTCGTGAGGTCAGCTGTGGTAAGATGGTCAGAAGAGGCGGCTTCAAGTTCGGGGAGGTTTCCTCTTGGCAGGGACTGGACTCAAGGGTCAGACATGGCAGAGTCTGGTTGATAATGAGGGGGCTGGCATTTTGATAGAGGGTGAACAGCCCTGACCGTTCCCAGCACTGGCTGGAGCATACCACATGCACACTGCACAACTGACTTTAAATGTCTCCCTGGTTCTTGTAGCGTTCTGTGTTAGGAGTTTGAATGCTGCATGCCACTACTGGACATGTTGCTGCTGTCTACAGAGTCATTTAATGTCAGAACCATACAAACACCTTGCCTGTCGTAGGGTTTTTCCTGCATAGAATCATTTTTAGCACCCTCCAGAGATGTTTTAACCAGCTCCAAAATGATGGAGGTTGTATCCTGTTGGGGATTGCTTTTCAAGCCTTATTTTAGGGGCAAAGTCACCAAACTTTGACCATTGAAATTACAGTTATGGCTCTCCCTCCATTCATTTAGATAGGAACCTGAGCTTGCGTGGCTGAAATAACTGCAAGGGGGGAGTGTTACCAAAATGGCTGTCAAGTAGTAAGACTTTCCAATAAGCCATAAGATCTTTAGCCAGAGCCACCACAGTGATAAAAAATTAGTGCCAAATTATGTTCTCCAACCAGTTTAGTTAATTGAAGTTTTATTTTGTTAATATGATCGGAAATAACAGGAAAATGCATAGATTTCCATCAAATAAGGTAGCAGACTAATTGCCTTTCCTGTATGTGGATCGATCGTGCTTACTGAGGTGCGTAATCAAACCTCAAAGACAGATTCTGAGCTCAGAAAAACCCTATTTTAGATTTACTTCACACGTGCTAATTTAACAAACATACCGTTTTCTGTGCATTTTGCACATCCGTACTTGAAAGCCATTTCAGAGATGCGCAAACTCCGGATGTAGCAATTGTCAACGGCTGTAGTACACATGCGTTAAAAGCTGACATCAGTAAATTCCTGCATCAGTGATATAGTTTGTCTCATGATCATTGCTTTACAGCCTCACTACAGTGTCACTGCAGTTATTGTGTCAAGGGACCCAGCACAGTTTTAATTTAGAAAAAAAAAAAAAAGAACAGTGAGCTGTTTTTTTTGTTTTTTGCTTTTTTTTTAAGGTTTTGTTGAAGACACCTGGCTGAACTTACACTCGTATTAAAAACTGATGTGAATCTAGTGAACAGAAGAATCTAAATTCGAAAGATTTTTTTTCAGTTTTTTTTCCCCTCTGCATTAAAATTACTATAATAAAAAACACAATATTGTGAAACATTAATTAACACCCATGTGGTACATTTTCAGGAACATACTCTGAGAGAGTGTCTAGTATGGACCAATTAACTGAAAACAAATATGACTGCTTGTCAGTGTGAGTGGAACATTTTTTCCTCTTGTTCCTAGTTTGTTTAAATCTGAAAGAATGCGGTATTTAAGGGTGCTTAGTAGTCTTTACAGTTTATGTATTTTGGAACAGTTAATGTTGATCATAGAATCATCATCTGTCCAGACAGAACACAGAAAACTCTGCTTCAGGAACACTTACTGTGTTTTCCTCTCTTGACTCCTTGAAGAGAGACGGCTGGTTGTTAAGTTGTGCCCCTGGTTAGAAGGCTAATTACATACTATGCCCTATACAGCAGGTTTCATATCAGTAATTACCATCCGGTGCAGTGTGTGAGGGTTGAGGGGAATTATAGGAGAGGTCTGAATCTGAACTGAGGGTTCGTGAATTTGTGCGCAAAGACCCAGTCAGGCAAAGAAGACTTTTCCCTTCACTTGTGCAGTTTGAAAAACATGTCACAGCATGTGAAGGCTGCACCTGGATATAAACTTGGGTTTTGTTTTTCTCTAAAAAGTGAATTTTACACTCAAGTTACCTAAAGGGTAGACACAATGCAGATTTTGCACCCTCATATAGGTCTGTCTGCTTTCCTTTTCCTTTCTTTTCTTGTGCCGGTGGACTTATGGTAATGACAGTTTCAGTTTAATGCTTATTCTTTCTTGGAACATGCAATACATTGACTGAAGAATGCATTGTTGCAGCTTACAGTCGTAGCTGAAATAATGATCTATAGTGAGGAGAAAGATATGGGATCGAAGTGTGACATTGTTCCTGAGGTGTCACATCACACCTCCAGGTTTGCTTTTTAGCTATGTGCTGCCATAGTATCTGTTGGAACATCTGAAAATAATCTCACTGCTTTCTTCATGACATGTGAGAAAGATGTGCATCCTGTCTGTCTAATAAATCATGAATTGAATTGTAGCCCCGTGTCCCTCTTGAAGCAAACACTAGAGACTCTGAGATGAGCTGAGGCGGTTTACGTTCAAGTATGAGCCTCGTTTCTAGCTGTACACAGAGACGGAAATGATGAATCTCTCTTTGAATCAACTCTGAATCCCTGCCTTCATTGAACGAACTAAGAAAGTCTAACCACCAAAAACCTAATCAAAATGTTGGCTCTTTTACATTTTACCTGGTACAAACAGACAAATGCAATTAGACATTTCCATGGTTTCTCTAATTATGCCTTACCAGAGGGAAGGCTGTATTAGATTGTTTTGTCTTGTTAGTTCTCCCCAGAGAAAGCCATTAGTTAATGTAGCAGAGAGGACTTCATGCCGTTGAGGCGTAAGCCTTCATTAACGGGAAGCATTCATTCACAAGCTTCCCTGCTGATTCTGGTCTTTGATTGACATTTAATCTCTTCCCTGTCCTCAACAAATATGTTGCTGCTCACTTGAGTTAATTTTCTCTGTTCTTTGGTGCACTAACCTTTTTTTTTGAAGCTCAGCACAAATGAAAAGTTCCTCTTGGCAGTGTGTTCTGTTGAAACTGTGTGAACAGCAATATTGTAGGAAATACCTCTGCATGATTCACTGTGAGCACTGTAAATATACGCACACACGCTTCAGTCCTAATAGACTTAATTGTACATAAACACATTTGCTCAGAGGCCTGACAGGCAGTGCTGTTATGTAAATACATTGGCACACTGAATCCGTGCTTGCAGCCTGTGGGCACAGTAGAAAGGCATCTACTTCTAACACAAATTTATAGACATTGTACTAAAAATATCTTCAATATGTGTGCATATTAAAGAAATGTGCGGCACATATGTGCAGTGGTATACAGCCTTTTACCCCCACAGCTGTCAGCTTGACAGGGCAGAGGTGATATATGAAGGAAAATACAGTTTTATCGGGCTGTGGCTGAGAAATGCTGATGGTGTTCTCAGAAGAGAAACAGTTTGGTCTATTTTCAATCTTAAAAACAACCGAGACAGCGGCACTGTTGTTTATTTCTGTTGAGGATAGTAGGCTTGTTGTTGTATGGTATGATATTTAAGGCATGCACTGCACTACACATTACAAACTCAGTTTATGACGTGGTTGTTCCTACAGCATTATATTGGCCTGGATTCCGTTATACAGTTCCTCATGGTTACAACACAGCTGCCACATGTAACAATGTAAAGCTGACATACAGTTTAGCCTGCGGCTGGTTTTATTCACTATCAGCATATGAAATGCAAAACATAAAACAAAGTCAGCAGCTACATTACATCACTTCTACCACACGATGGACAATGTGCTGCTAATGTCTTCAAACAATATATGTGTGTGTGTGTGTGTGGAAAAGCTTGCACAGTTGTTTTATTTTATTTTATTTTTTACCAAATACCAGAGATTATTACAAATTACATTTTTTTTTAGCCGCAGAACAAAAGATTTAAACACACATGATAAGAAACCACTCATTTTTCTCTTCCTCTTTTACATCTGGCCTCTGCAGTGTGCGTGAGGATAGCCTCGTATTAATCTGCATATTTTGCTAAAGCCATGCAGCAGTTATTGGATGATATCAGCTTCAAAAAAGAAAATCTGGGAAAATAAATTTGAATGGTGAATGTTATACAATCTTCTTAGATGGAAATCGCTGAAAACTATTGAATGTCTGCTGTGAAAAACATAAAGTAAGTGCCATATAGATACTACCAGTGGCTCACAGCTGGCTTGAGCTGATTTTTGTTACTGATGGCTGTTTTTACACCTCTACCAATATTAATGCTTCTTATTCACAGCCTGTCACTCATGATCCGTGGGCAAATATCACTTCTCAATAGTAAATAACACTTTAGTCAGCACAGTTGCAGTGATGTAAAATAAACACTGCAATTTCTGCATCATGCCTGTTACAGTTTTTTTTTCAGTTATCCTGGCTGCATGAAATATAGTTTTAATGTATTTTCATTCAAACTTTGCCCATTTGGACAGGCTATGCTAACCTTGCTAGTTACACCAGTCTAAAATTTAGCCACAGCTGTCCCAGCTATCTTGAGAAAGTATTACCTCAATAGTGCAGCAGCCTGCACAGAGTTTGCTGATGTAATTATGCTACAACTAAGAGTTTTAAACAAGTGCTGATGGTATCTGACAACAGACATTTTTTCTTGCAGACATTTCATAGCAGGAAAAGGATGGGTGTAATGAATAATATTAATGAACTCTGCATTCCACCTA